ACATAAAGTTTTATTTCCCTTAAAGTAATAAGAACGTAAACATTTTCAAGAAAGAAGAGTAATACAGATAGTTTCGGGAGAACACGCAAGGTAAATCTCTACTCTTTCAACCCTGTTCTCTTGAGAAAAACATAGACGAATCTTACATATTTCATGTTATACATGGATAATTTCATCACCAAAGAGTCGAATGTGTATAATCAGAAATGTTTCTTCATTTAGCACTCAAAATGATTGTATTTAGTTAACAAAAATCAAATTATTTATATTAAATGTGGTCATTAATAAAACAATACATAAAAAAAGTGACACTTTTCTCCTCTTGTGAGTCTTAATTCTTCTCTCCCTCTTAAGAGTGGTGCTTTACTTTTAGCAATGTCTATTCCTTTGTTTCCGTGCAGAATCAAATCCTGAGTACCTATTAAGTGAACACCCATTTCTAGGATCTATGTTGATTTCAAATCGGAAAACAGTCACAACCTTTACCTCTCAGATCACTTAGTATCAGTAAAATAAAATGCATACAAAGGCTATTACCCTATTGCAATAATAAGTGCTGAGCAGTGATAGGTACAGTAGAGATTACAGTCCACAAACTAGAGATAATAATATAAAGATAAATATTAGCAGAGAATTCATGGATAAATTGCAACTTGAGAGTTGAATAGTTTTTGGAGTTTTGTTACACTCTGGAAATTGCTTTTAAGATCTCACTTCACTCCCACAATCATCCTGTGATAGAAAAGGAAAATAAATTAGAGAGTACTGTTCATGTAGTAGAGCATACTAAGTAAAATTCAGAAGAATAAAATTAGTTTTAATATTAATAATAATAAATGGATGATAATAACCAACTATTGTTAACAATAATAATAATAATAGATAACAATAATAATAGCCTTTTCTAAATGTCAGGAATTCTTCAAGGTATTTTACTTATATTAAATGATTTAGTTCAAATAACAACACTAAATGTTGGTATAGTTGCTTGCCATTTAACAGATGAGCAAACTATGATGCTGGAAGATTAATTGCACAAACTTATCACACAGCTATTTCCCTCTGGGAAATACTGTTCTTTAACCATGAGCATAGAGCCCTGGTGGTGCAGTGGTTAAGCACTCAGCTGCTAACCAAAATGCCAGTGGTTCAAACCAAGCTGCTGCTCCTTGGAGTAGAGATGTGGCAGTCTGCTTACCAGAAGATTTATGTCCTTGGAAACCCTATAGGGCAGTTCTACTCTGTCCTATAGGTTCACTAAGATTCGGAATTGACTCCTCAACAACGGGTTTGGGACTTTTTAACTATGGCACCATAATTCTGCTTTGCTTAGTGGACAAGGTGCAAACCCATTAGGATGGAGAGATAAAAAGCACAGTGAGACAAGAGTCACCCTGCCTCTTACAAAATTTAAGAAGGAACTCACTTTCAGGATCTTGAAAGTGCAAGGATGACTCTAAATGCATCCTTAAATTTTGCACCTTAAGAGCCTCACTGACTAGTCCCTCTCCTGACTCTGATGAAAGGGAATGGTGGGAAAAACAATTGTTAACAAAGGAACTCAAAACCCTTAACTAGCAATCTGTTAAATTCTAGGGCTACAGGCTTAAAGAACATACTATCATAATCATAATTATACTGGTGGTGTAGTGGTTAAGTGCCACGGCTGCTAACCAAAAAGTCAGCAGTTCATCTAGGTCTGTCATCTAGGTCCCTATGAGTCCGAATTGACTCGACGGCTGTAGGTTTTCATCATAATCATAATTATAGAACCATAACTAAAAAGTAAACAGTTTAAAATTGGTAGGTAGGTGATACATTTTACCAATATTATCTCAATTAATTCTCACAAAGAAGTAAACCTTAGAAACTTTAAACAATTGATTAATATCACAAAGATAATAAATCATGGAGATAGGAGTCAAACTCAAGTCCATTAAAAAAGAAAAAAAAAGGATACTGACTTGAAGTCACAAAAGCTATGCGCAGTTGGTGGCCTTATTCATACTTAGTCTTAATGTCCTTACATAAAAGAAAAGGGAGTTCAGAAATAGTTATCTGAAGTGTTATTGTTTTGAGTAACAACAAAAATAATAGCGAGTACACACAGCACAATGGGTAGAACATAGCAGCCAATATCTTTCCTCCTCCTGACCCACACACATAAACACAGGTAACAAATACCTTCCATGGTACTCCTGTTTTTCCAGGATGACTACATTTATTGTTTGTATCTAAATCAATGTACCTAGGATAATTTCCATGAATAAAACCCTCTTATCTTACCTACTTAATAACCTACCAAAATACATTTGTTTTATTCCCATGTGTAAAATGGAATATTTCAATTTTCCATTTTCTTTCTAAACAACCTAATATGAACTGTGCACTTAGAACTTATATGCTTAAAATGGTCAAGTGATGGGAGAATGAAGTGGTGAAATAGGCAGTTGAAAATATATGTTAGAAGATAGTTTATGATACAGTGTTTGAGAATCTTGACTGAGAAAATGCATAGAGAAGTACAATAAGATTGTCAAGACGTGTGATTAATTAAAGTGAGATAAGATGGCAAATTTGAGAGTCCATCTCCAGCGGTTGCCAATTGCTTCAGCACCTGTGCTGAGTCAGGTATAGTCTGATCTATCCTGGACTGTGCTTGTAAAGTATAGTGAAATGATCTTAAAATAGATCTGAGGGGATTGTTTACTGTGATTTACAGTAAATAGGGACATACGTACATAGCATCATTCTTAAAGTGCAAACGATTGCATTGATCATAAAATCCCAGCCGGGCACCTCATTACAATTTAGAGAAGAGGCAAAGAGATACAGGAAGGTAAAAGGAAATGACATGCAAATTTACTTTTTCCACAGATGAATCATCAAGAAAAACCAACAAAAGATAAACTAACTGAACTAATGGAATTTGTTCTCTTGGGCTTTGCTGACATGCCCCATCTCCAGTGGTTTCTTTTTGGATTATTTTTAATCATCTACATCATTATCCTGATGACCAATGGCACCATATTTCTAATAACAAAAATGGATCCTGCTCTCCAGAGCCCTATGTATTTTTTCCTGGCAAATTTTTCCTTCTTAGAAACCTTCTATGTATCAGCTACTCTCCCCAGAATGCTGCTGAATCTTGGGACCCAGAGAAGAAGAATTTCCTTAGTTGCCTGTGCTACACAGATGTGCTTTGTCCTTATATTTGGAGGTGCAGAGTGTTTGCTCCTGGCAGTGATGGCCTATGACCGCTATGTGGCCATATGTAACCCTCTGTACTATCCGCTAGTTATGAACCACAGGGTCTGTATCCAGTTGGTGACTGGGTCCTGGAACATTGGAATCCCCATTATGACAGGGCTAACGTATCAGAATTTCTCTCTGCCTTTTTGTGGATCTAACCACATTAATCACTTCTTCTGTGACATTCCCCCAATACTCAAGCTGGCTTGTGGAGACATCTTTGCAAATGAGATGTTAGTCTACACAGTGGCTGTGTTATTTGTTATGGTTCCATTTCTGTTGACTCTTGGCACCTACAGTAAAATCATCTCCATCATCCTGAAGTTGCCATCAGCCACAAGTAGAGCCAAAGCCTTCTCCACCTGCTCATCTCATCTGATGGTTGTGGTGTTATTCTTTGGATCAGCCATTATTACATACTTAAGACCCAAGAGCAGACACTCAGAGAAAACTGACAAAGTGCTTTCTCTTTTCTACACTATCCTAACTCCTATGTTTAATCCCATGATATATAGTCTAAGGAATAAAGATGTCATAATGGCTCTGAGAAAATTGCTGTGTAAATAGTTCACCTCATTAAAGAATCAGTTAAATGTGTAAGAATTGCTTTCTTATGTATTTT